AAAAAAAAAACTAGTTATGTACTTCCGTGTATATCAATCTAATATTTTGTATGATGGAAGCCTATAACTAATCGGGTAGTTTCTGTTTTAGGCGATAAAATGACTGTTATCGATAAGTGAAATAAACACAATTAATTAAGTTTCCTTTTTTGATTTTATTAATTTGCCCTTAAGAACAAAGTACTCATAAACGATGCATGAATTCAATATTTTGCTTGACAGAGTCCTCTAATTAATCAAGTTTCCCTTTTAGGCGGTAAAATGACTATGCTTTCTATGTCGGTTATATGAAACATGAAAAGCGGTTCAATTGCAAGGTAAACAAACAAAATTAATTAAGTTTTCTTTTTTATCTCGTTTAATTAGACCTTAAAATAGGCTTTAATTGAACAATGATTTAATTTGTGTACTTTTACTTTCCACGTATGGATGCAGGAGACATCTGGTCAGCTTTGTTACAAAGTGTCTCTGGCTTGTGATTGGTTCAAGTAGATTTAGGGCGTGACATTGGGTTTTATAACAGCACCTCTCAGAGCTGAGGTCTCATTCACCCTGGTGATTTGGCAGAAAGCAGATCGAGCACAACAAGAGCTGTAAGACTGATATCTTACGTTACGTCTACCATCATGGTAAGTGTTGCACAGGAGAAAAGGTTGTACTTCAATTTCACAAATTCACAGATCTGCAATTAATCCCAATTTCATTCCACAGAGTGTGATTAAACCAGAAATGAAGATCAAGCTGCGTATGGAAGGCACTGTAAACGGGCATTCGTTTGTTATTGAAGGATTGGGAGACGGCAAGCCTTTCGAGTAAGTAAAAGCTTAAAGATGTTTAATCATTGTGGTCAGTTGTACGGCCGTCTCCTTTCGAGCAGTGCTTAGTTTAGTTAGACTGGAGAATTCGACTAAGCCGTATTTCTTTCGGGATATTGCCTCAGATGCAGGCTCTATCTTTCTTCCCTTAGAGCTTGCGACCATTAAGGTGACGAAGAACATAGCGAGAAAATCTACATTGAGACTTACAATTCTTATTTGTTATCCTTACATTGAAATCGATACCTAAAATGTACTCAGCTTCGCTCTATGTTAAAATAATTGCAGGGCTAAGGATTGATTTTCTTCTGTTTAATATGCCAATTCCGGCGTAAGCTCTATTTGCCATACATTTGTAAGCCAAGCAAATTACTGGCCGGGGCTATACCAGACTGTTAAGTGCCAAGTTATAAAAACCTCTTTATTTCTAGTTAATCAAGCGATTCCTACCTTTATTTCTCTACCTTATTTCTCTTGGTTTCTCTTTTCTTTTCCATTACAAAAGAGTGTATCCTGCCACATTAAGAGTCGTCGAGTCGTCATTAGTGTCAAAGAAAGCACAGAAAAAGTGCGCACCATTTCAAAGAGCGAGCAATTCAGTAACTCGGTCAATCGGAACGTACTGTACTGTTTCATGGTGCGCGTAAAACAAAGCTACCAAGAAAACAACAATCATACGGTTCTGAATGTTTGACGTCAGACTCTCAATGTCGAAAGCAAATATTTTCTTGATTAATTTGGGCTTTATAAAGTAACAGAATGAATGCTGTTGCACTAAGAGAACGAACTTAGCTGAAAATTTCAGAACTGTTCTTTACACTAATCAGCTTAAGTACATCTCTGTCTTCGTATTTTTCTCAGGACTCCGTGACTGAACAAAACTAATGCATTGCATATGAACAGACTTTACCTTACCCTTGGTTTCCTGTTTTTGTGTTTTAGGGGAAAACAGAGTATGGACCTTAAAGTCAAAGAAGGCGGACCTCTCCCTTTTGCCTACGATATCTTGACAACAGCATTCCATTACGGCAACAGGGTATTTGCTGAATACCCAGACCATATAACAGACTATTTCAAGCAGTCGTTTCCTAAGGGGTATTCTTGGGAACGAAGCCTGACTTTCGAAGACGGGGGAGTTTGCATCGCCAGAAACGAAATAAAGTAAGTAAAATGTAAAGCTGATCTGCTCTGTGCATGGAAAAAAGTAGCACTGTGTTCCAGATTGATAAAATTTGTTCAGTTCCAAACCCATTAGTGTCTTATCGCCTTCTTGTTTTGATGATCCTGGAAATTGTCATCATGAAATATTTTGAACTAGAATTTAGATATCTTTTAATTCTTAAGTGTCAGTGTTTATATCAATAAGGACCAAAATAACAAAAATTG